AATTGTACCAAAAAAAAAAAAAAAAAAAAAAAAATACGAGAAATGAAATTTTTAGCGAAATTGAAATTGTAAACGTGTTTTTAATATCTCTGCCAGGTCTAGCATTTCATTTCATTGGATTTTAAATTGGGTTAAAGGATTAATATAAAAGTGAAATATACGCATGTTGCGCGGGACTGGGGAAATAGGAAGGGGAAAAAAACAGTTCGTCGTATAAAGCTGAAAATCACACGAGCGAATATTTTTTTTTTTTTGCCTTTTTTATGCGGAAAAGGATGGATTATTAAAATGTAGTTAAAAACAAAACATTCTCGTCGCGAAAATGAAATGATCAAATTCTTCCAAACGTCAAATTTTAAATTATAATTACAAAAAGGAGGAGAGTTTAAGACGTGATCTTTCGCGTTATATAAAATTATATTTTTAATAACAAATCGAACGAAGCCATGAAATTTTCAGTAACCTTCACGATCTCTCTCTCTCTCTCTCTCTCGTCGTTCATTCTCCTCCATTATTCCAAGAAAATTCGATCGAACTTTTTCCCAAATTCCATCGAAACGAAAGCTTTCGAAATTCACGCATAACACATAGGATTTCGTTGCATAATTAAAATCCAAGTTTTCCAAAGATCGGAATTTTTCTTATAAATATAAATATCGAAATCGAAAAATTTCGCGAAAATGACCAAATAAGTAATAAAAACGAATAACGAGAGGATGAAAATATGAAATGCTTCAGGGGGGGCGGCGAGGCGGCGGTGGTGATCGAGATAGGAGGGGGGCAGCAGGAGGGTGAGCGAAGCGCGAGGCCGAGCGTCTCGTCCATATCCTCGATCCTGAACCAGAGCGCGGACGACAGCGATTCCGGGTTCCACGGTTTCCAGTCCCGCGACGATCCCAGCCACGCGTCCAACAACAACTCAAGCCCGAACAGCGTGAACACCGCCTCCTTCCCGAACCTGAGCGGCAGCAATGGGAACAGCAACAATGGAAATAGCAGCGCCACCAACAACAATCATTCCCTCATCATCAACAACAACAACAACAACAACAACAACATCAGCCTCGCCAACACAGGGAGCAACAACAACTCGAACGACGTCGTCCAACCGATGGTGAACGGTTGGATCCAACAATCCCCTTACGGCCAATCAGCGAGCACGTCGCAACAACAACAACAATACGGCCAATTGATGTCGTCCGTGGTCAGCCAGCAGGTCCACTCCCACCACCATCCCCACCAACCGCTGCTCCACCAACACCTGTCCCCCCACCTCCCCGCCCAGATCCTTCAACACAACAAACAACAACCTCAACAACCTCAACAAACCGCTCACCTGGTGCAAACTGTCCAACCCATGCCGAGGAAATTCGGCCAACCGATTTACGCGAACGCGCCCCCTAAACCGAGGCGAATCACCGACGGATCGACCGAGTACTCGACCCCCTCCCCCGACCCCGATTACAGAAAATCGCCCGTTTCGCCGGACGTGACGACAATGACGAGCAAGAGCCCGATGTCGGATTACGACAGGGGTAGCCTGATCTACGGGACGAGATCCGTCGGTGGCCAACAACAGCAGCAAGCCCCGTCACAGCACAGCTTGAGGACGGACAAGTCCGGCTTGAATTACGGGTATGGTGGGGGCCAGGCGCAGGCGCAGACCGAGAGGCGCACGCCCGACACGTACGGGCGCAGCGCGGCGAAACCGAGGCCGGGGAGGGGGAACGGCGACTACGAGGAGGTGTACGGGGCGCCCCAGTTGTACCAGAGGCCGGCAGGCCCCGTCGGTTACACGAAGGGGGCCTCCCCCGCACCTATCCCCATCCCCATCTACGCGCAACAACATCATCAGCAATACCAGCAGCAGATACATGCCTCGAACGGTGAGTGGAACTTATTTTTCTTGGGATTGGTGTCTACTTTGTGTGTGTATTATATTTATATTCTTCGGTTTGTTTAACGCGGTTCATATACGGGTGACGCTTTCCTCTTCGAGAAAAATAAGATTTTAACTATTTTACGTTTGTATTTATATTTAAGAAGGTTATCGATCGAGTAAGAAGAGCCCTCTGGAATGTTATATTACACTTATATTTGCAAAATGCAAAGAGTTAAAGCAGAATTTTAAAAGAAATTTAATGGATCAAGCGCTGAAATATAAATATAAAATATACTTTGGAATCACAGAATTTAGAATTTAAGAATAATAGAAAGGAGGAACAAATATGATTCGCTCTGCATTTTTATACAATTTCAAATCTAAAATTATACCAAATTATAAGTTGCCAATTAGAAGCTTATATTCAGACCAAAATACTTAAAATTGACTTTGGAAACGAACGAAGAAGTAGAAGTAGAAAACAACTAATTCAGAATCGGTAAATTTTATTATTAAAATATATAAAATAAAAGTATTGAAACTACTTCCGTTTATCGCTCTGTTTAACGTTCTTACGGCTCTCCGACAGTAACATTTGGGCCCCGTGAGGAAACCACGCTGGCCGGCGAACGTGTTAAAATTGATTTTAAATGCGTGAAGTATGATTCGATTTTGATTCAGTGCCGATAATGAGGCAGCCGAGGGCGCAGCCACCGCCACGGCCGCACAGCGCGGACTTCTTGGAGTACGAGGCGATAAGGAAGCCCCAACAGCAGATGCCGCCGCAGTGCGAGGAGTCGGTGAATCAACAGAGGCGTCCACAGAGGCCTAAATCGAGTTTAGACATAGTCACTCCGTCGGACGCAGCGAACGACGGATACTTTTATTCCGAGGAAAGGTAGCGAATTTGTGGATAATTTTATTCTTCATTTTTTTTTTTTCGATTGGAGAAAAAAAAAACAAAAATCCGTATATCCATTTTTAATTTTCCTCGATCGAGTCGCCAAGTATTCTTCTCGCGACATTTTATTTTCGCCATTTCAATGACACGGCGTGCGTGTGTTGGGCGCAGATACGCGGCACAGATGCGGCAATCCGCGGTTTATCTCCACCAGACGCCCCAGCATCACCAGCAACAAAGGAACCAATCGCTTTCCCGGACGACAATGCCCTCGAAAGCGACTGGGATCCGCGACAGAAGCGACGAAAGTAGGATAGCCACGCTACCGGAAGTTTCCTGCTCAGCCCTGAGGCGGGGACAACACGTTCATCAGCAACACGTGATACCTCACCAATCGCTCCAACGGCATACCGAGTGAGTCACTGTCCATCAATCTTCTATACTTTCTTCTCCAACGTACAAAGAATATACCCGTTGCTATGATCTTTCTCGATGTTTGGAAAAAGGAAAAAAGTTCTTCTTTTTAAATTAAAAATTGAAAATGTTAATTTCTGGAAAAAAAAAAAGTCTTAGAATGGATTTCGTGAGATTTTTCGCAAGGTTATTGAAATTCCAAGTGTCTCGTTATTATCGATACTTTTGCAAGAAAGAAAAAAGTACGTTTTCTCCGCACCTGATGCAACTAGACATTCCATTTACTTAAGTGGAAATCGATAATGCGCATCTGTAAGAAGCGCTGCCTGTGTTTTACAATGTTCTTGCAATAATGGTGTCGCATACAAATGCCTTCTTTTTACTGTTTCGTTTCCATCCATTTGAACAAGTATAAACACACTTTGTAGAAACAAATTTTCGTGCATATTATCTATGAATCGTAAAGAAAAAAAAAATCTACATCGTTTGTGTCAAAATTTTCAAAAAAAAAAAAAAGATATTCTTCTAATAATTAGATTAAAATTAATTCACAATAAATAAACGTAGAATCAATCGCACGAATTAAGCTGTACCAATACGTACACAAAAAATTAAATTGCAATAATCATCATATAGCGCGAATCTATCTATTTTTGTTTACATTTTCAACACGTTCGTTCGAATTAAATTAGCTTTAGTTTCGCTTCACGATTTCAATATAACACGGATAACCGTGCGGATTAACCGTGTTATAGAATTGGCTCGATTGTATACGCAGTATAAATGAACAGCAACAAGAAAGCTAAAAAAAAAAATCGTATCAAAGTGAACAAAGCAAAAAAAAAAAAAACACAACCAGACCAAAAAAAAAATAATCTATTATACGTGTATAATCTACTTTTCGATTCAAAGCAAAGCTGCGATCTATGCGATTCAAGCGCAAAAAACGCGACTAAACTCAAAAAAAAAAAAAAAAAATACATATCGAATTCGTTGTTGTTGGGTTCAGAGTGAGCAGCAACGAGGCGAAGTTGAGGCGGTCGTTGCGGGAGAAGAGTTACGAGGCGAGCAGCCGAGAAATGCTGAGTCACATGGCGGAGGAAGGGACGGTGCCGCGAAGAATTCCACGCGAGTACGAGTGTTCGATGGGGTGGGGAAACAGGGGGACGAGTCAGGGTAGCGCTCACGTGGGCCAACCGTGTCACGCTCCTCACGCCGCCGCCAGACGATGGAACGAGCAGCAACAGTTCTGCAGGTCGGCGTCCGCGCGCCTACCGAGGACCAGGCACCCGGCTACCTTGGACCCTGACGACGACGATTACGAACGATCGTCCGAGCAGGACTCGCGGGATGGTGAACGAAAGATACAACAGGTTGGTTACATTCGTCGTCGTGTGACGATGTTTTTTCGCGCGTTTCTACTTTTGTTTCTTATATTTGATCGACGTCCATCACTCGTAGAAACTTGTATATATGTTACGTGAGTTTAAAAGTATTAAAAGGGATCAAGAAGAATTTACGTATGTTAAGAAGTAAAGTGTTTTTCGCGCGTCGAGTCGCGTTTGTTTGGCTCCCATTAAGGCGACCTTGAGAAAGTAACGGATACCGGTTAATGTTATTGCGCTTGCCTTTCTATTTATCGTTCTAAGAATTTTAATTTCGTATATTTTACGTATACTCTCTTCGTTCGTTGTTTGACGCTTAAATATAAGTATCCACGCATATTCTCTAAAATTGTATTTATACTTTTAAAATTGCACATTTTCACAAGTGTGTTTACTTTATTATACGTGAGAAGAAACTCTTTCCACTTTTATTTCCACAAAATAGCCACGAAATCGAAAGTGGAACGAGCCAGTAAAAAATGTATTATTAAAGCAGGAATCGATCGAGCAGAATTTATCGATCGAGCGGAATACCGTGGAATCGAGATTCTACGGTAGTCGGACCGGATGTCGCGTTACGAATACCTTATGGAAGGCGAGCATGCCTCGTAAACGAGGGAGATGACTAATAAATCGGTTTTCCATGGCGTAATCGTGAAACCAGCGTGTCGGCTGGTTGACGGACAGGACAATTCGTAGCCGCACGAGATGATTCATGCGAAAGGTGCAACCTGCCCGGCTACCTGCATCTATGTCACGTCCCGTGATTCTGCTTTCACCGCGATTCCGTTTTATCCACGTCATTGTCGCGTTCCTCGCGCCTTTCCACGAACGTGAAACGTTACTTGTCCGCGCGTAGAATTTCAATCACCATCTCCTTCTTTCTTTTCCCTCGATCGAACTCCTGGAGAAGTTCTAGTTCCTTCACGATTTTTCGATCATGCAATACGTATCCGATTGCTCGAATCGCACCAATTTTAAACTTCTCATTTCTTCATTTTTCGTGATTATTTCGTTTCACCAACGATACTGAATAGATCAATACATATTTTTGAGATTGAAACAAATACAAAAAAAAAAGCACACGTTCTACGGCAATTATAAGCGTCAATTCATCCACCACAGAGGGCAGCACCTCTCTCTCTTTCTCTCTCTCTCAAAAGACAGCGTTCTAAGAGAGAAAAAGAAAAAAGACGGCAAAGACTGGAACGAGATGCGTGCGTGATTACAGCGCGAGGAGTCGATGAAGCGGCTGCTGGAATGGAAGCAGCGGATGCTGCAGTCGCCGCTCACCCGGAAGCCATCGGCCTCGGCAAACAGAGGCCGTGCGCAGAACGAGCTGTCCACCTATTACAAGCAGCAGGCGCTGCTCGATCTCGCTGCCCACGAGGCGTCGGTCGCCGAGGGCCGCCACTCGCGGCGGAGGGAGGACGGCGGTGGTCATCGGCCGCACGCGCGCAGCAAGAGCACGGACGGGAGGAGGACTGTGGCCAACGTTTCGCGATACAACAGCTACTCCAGCGACGACGAAGGTAGGGACACCTCGCCTGAACTTATTATCTGAGTTGTGGCTTCAACCACGTTCCTGGGACCGTGTTGTTTTCCGCTTTTCGGGCCAACCAGCTTCCTTGCAATTTTCACACACTTGTAGACGATTGGCAAAACTGGATTGCCAATTTTTTTCCTTTTTTTTTTATTATATATATAATATGGAGCGATATATATATATACATATATATATATATATATATCGTGTCATGGTGTTTGGGAAGGTTTGAGGTGAAAACTTCGTTTTTGGATGCTATTCTTTGCTTTTTGTGTGGTTTTTTTTTCTTCTTCTTCTTTTTGAGGTGTCAAGGTGATCGCTTCGAGCAATTTCGTTTGGCGGATTGGATTAATCGATTCGTCGAAAAATTTATTAATTTTTGGTTTTATTTGATATTCTTTTTGTAAAAATCGGTCCAACGAAGAATTGTATAATATTTTGCCAAAAAACGACGAGAACGACACGTTTCCAATGATCCAACGTGACCAAATTTTACGCACGCGTGTTCGAAACAGAACAGTTCAAAAGTGATATATATTTTATTAAAAGAAAAAATAGTATCAAAACGAAGTTTGATTCAACTCAATTCTCAGCTGTAGCTCCTTTAATAAGTAATATTAAGCTCTCTTCAATATACTCTTCCCCGAAATGGAAGAAATAAGCACAATTATGCAGAATTTTAAAATCTGATATAATCGGGTCCCAGGAACGCGATTACATTTGCAAATCTCTCTTAAGTAGAACTCTAGCTGGATCGTATCAAGTATAGCAAACTCTAACCATAATACTTAATCGCTCTAACACAGTATTCACGCGTGTGTTCTGCGTGTTAAAATAAAACTTTAGAAACTTTAGAATGGAAAAAAATGCTTTTGTATGGTGTTTTACTTTTTTTTTTTTTTTTTTTTATGCACGAGAAGTCGCGTCAGAAAAGAACGTCACGTTACCAAAGATTACTTACTTTCGTACAAAAGGAAACAAAGCGAGATATCGATATTGCGCATGAATATAATAACGAGTTTATATATCCATATATATTTTTTCTAAATAAATAAATAAAAGTGCCTTTCGTAAAAGTTTCTTGATGTAATAATATTAATCCGTTAATGCATCACGAATAATGAATCCCACGTTAACTCAAAATTAATCAACTCTGTTGTGGAAAAGAACTACTAACCGTTAAGATAGAAGACGAGCAAACGTGTCGAGTCGAAACGAGATAAAAAAAGCGTACACGTGCGACGTGTTTACGACGACGACGTAGAAACGAGTGGAAGTTTCGCCGTGCTCTCCTATCTCTCTTCTAGCTGTTCTTCTCTCTATCGCCAAGCCATCCCCCTCCTCCCCCTCCGAGTCGAGGGCTAGATCAAAGATCTCGTAGATAGCAAAGGATGTTTGGAGAGAATTCTATCCTGCGGAAGGAAAACTCGACAAAGAATAAAGTATAAACAAACAAATAAATAGACGCAATAAAACCTGATAAAGGCAAAAAACAAAAATAAATAAATAAATCCGCGCAAAGAATACATTCTCTCCTTCTCTATCGCTGCTGTTGTGTGGGGGGTCTGGGCTGTGACTGGTGAATGGGAACGAACATTAACACCTTTGGAATTTAACTTAAAGCGAAATACCGCCCGTTACGTATACCGAGCTCTCTAACACTAGAACCGAGTAATACTTTTGCAAGATGTGTTGTGGGTCAGCATGGCATGTCGAGGAAATATATAGCCACTAACAACACTATCGTAGAGGCGTTTCAACTCTCTGTTGGTTGATTGGTTGGTGGTGCCCGCTCTTCCTACGCTCTCCCGATAACCCGACGATCGACGAACACGCGTTTCACACGGATTTCGGATCGGTTTACGGATCGTTGCGGGATATCGATTCCCTCGATATACCTCGACTATAACCAAACAAATTTCCCATAAGAAGGGAAGAAAAACAAGACAAGGGTATAATCTTTCAACGATTCTCGCAACGATCAAGATCGATCCTCCCCCCCCTCCCCTCCCTTCTCTTCCCCTCCCCCTCCCCCAAAGCTTTCTTCGCCACCCTTCGCTTTTGTATCATCGCGTATCGGTGGGAGGGGGAGCGGGGAGGGGGGAGGGGGAGGAAGAGGGCCATCGACAACCACACACACACACACACACACACACACACACACACGTGAGTAACGAACCGTTCCCGTT